TCTCTTTAGAGGAAGACATCATATGCAAACCCATATTCTTGCAGAACCGAGAGTGTGCATAGTACGAAACACTTTTCATCGGATCGATTCATAGGAAGTTGAAATTGATCTGTTGAGAGAAGCGACGCCGTAATATGAATGAACACGAAAAATAAATGCCACGTAGTAGGGTATCATTATTAGTAAACTATGACACACTGCGCAGCAAGTATGCGTCATAATACGAATACTACGTGGCATACTTTGCATGCGATCAATCAAGCGATAAGGTCTTTTTTTCCTGTTCTGTACTCTGTAAACACATGCTATGCATATATATGCAAGCCGATGTATTGATGCTGCATGCAATTAAGACGACACAGAATACCAAGCCATTATTCTAAGCATTTTACATTTTAACGTTTTCACATTTCAATCAAATCTTTACATGGATCAACCAGAACGACAATTTAGCTCGTTGAAGCAGTACGATGAAAAAACGCAATATCTATCAGGTAGAATAATATCTCGGCTATTTTATTTATGTAACACTTTTTCGATTGCTTTCTTCTAGCGACAGTCAATAACGATAATAGGTCAGAGATGAAAATCTTCAGCTATTCAAAAAATAGATTTCTTTCTCTTATTCTCAAATAGTTTGTCCATCACTCGTTTTGAACATCTATCGAACGAACTTATCTATGAAATTTTCGAGTATCTCGACTGTCGTCATATATTAGAAGCTTTTTCTAATCAAAATATTCATTTCGAATGGCTTCTTAATGTTTCGCCTATTCCTCTCAGACTCAATCTTTCGTCCGTCTCCAGAGTGATCGTTCAACGTTGTTATAAAAATGTTGTCCCGTCAAACTTTCATCGTATCGTTTCACTTCGTCTCAACAATCATTTTTGTCTTGAGCTCTTTCTGGCATCATTCTCCATTGACTCAACGTTCTCTAGTCTCAAAGCTCTCGTCTTAGATAATATGGAATCCGATACAATCGTGCTTCTAATCACGAGTCTAGCTTTGCTACCTAATCTCCATTCTCTGTCCATCAGTGTCATTGATTCGGTGAAAGATCAAAATCTTATGTATTGTCTACTTTTTCGTCTGCCCGTCTTGAAATATTGCAAGTTGACATTCCAATTGAGCCGTAACTCAACTCGATTGCCGATCGCTAAACAAGAACAACAAAGTAGCATTGAGCATCTCATTATGAATCACAACTGTAATCTCAATGAACTCACCGATCTTCTTTCGTACATGCCTCGACTTTGTCATCTATCATGCAAAACTGTAGATGGATCTTCAAGCACATCAATTGAACTACCAATAGTACCACTCAATTTGATGCATCTTTCTCTCGTTGTACATCAAGTTCCGTTTGACACATTCGAAATTTTTATAACGAAAATTTCCTCTCGCGTTCAACGATTGTATGTTACTGCAATTAGTGACAATGATGATACGTACTTGAATGCTGAGCGATGGCAGCAATTGATTCAATCTCAAATGCCTCAATTACGTACGTTCGACTTTCAGCATTTAACTTCTCCAGACATGGCAGAATCTCATGCTTATCATGCATTGATCAAACGATTCAATACATCATTTTGGTTCGAACGACAATGGTACTTTGCACATAGACATTTTTTGTTTATGATGGAATATCCTGCTGTGATGTTTTATTCAACTAAACCGTACAGGTATCTAGGCAGAAATATTTGCGGATTGCACATTTTATTATTATTTTTCGTTGTAGACGAAATGGCTATGAATTATATGAACGTATGGATAACGATATATGCTCAAATCGAGAGTCTAATTTGAATTTATCTCGTGAAATCGTTATCTGGGGTCAGCAGGCCGCTGTTAATTGTTTCATTAAATTTTATCGTGTTACCAGTCTTGTTTTCATGGATAGATATGTTGAAGATAATCGTTTATTGCTTGACGATTTCAAACGAATTGTTCCTTTAATACAACTTACACAATTAGTTATCGAATGCTTCGAACTTCGTCATAACCAGCTTGTCGAAATTTTACACCATGTGCCAAATGTTCAGACGTTGATACTATCCACAGTGCCATTACTGCAAAAATCGGATACATCTACAGAACAAGATGAAACTGTTCGTTCGATATCAAACAATAATATTACACATGTGACTATTCATCATGTTTGCTCACTTGAACATGTTCAAATGCTCATCAATCTTTGTCCTAGCATGCAGTGTCTCAAGATGGCCATAGCACATCATACTTTCGAGCTGATCGTGCGATTTCTGTTTGGAAAAGACACAAAAAATAGTCACCATCTATTTTGGTTATGTTTGCAATTTGTAGACGATAAAATGGTCAAAATTTTAAAAGCAGTCATCGACCATGAAAAACCGTTTGATGACTATTCAATAAAACTTGCAAACAATTTCTTGTACCTATGGTGGTAATTAGCATTCGTTTCAAAACATATGTGCTTTTTTTAATTTATTTTGAATAAATCATGAACGGGAACTACTCGAGTGACCTACGTGTTTCTTAGAATAAGTTGAGATCAAGAAACATCCTACTCTATTTCAAATTTGAAATTAGTGGACGTCTACATAGTGACGGAGCCACAAGCTGCCTACACTCAATAGAATTCAATCCGGTGTCTCGAGTCTAGTTCGACTAACACGCCCGTCGAGTACGGACTTCAAACGAGAGCGAGCGTGGGTGTGGGTGTGGTTGTCGATGTGGGATATGGGTGTGGATGAATAACAAATCAGCACTCACACCCACACCACTTACATCCACAGCCACACCCTCAAGAGATTCTAGGGTATGAAAATATGCTCAAATTTGATTGTTCGATTTGCTGATCAATTGAAGTTTAGCATACTTTTATGGTCTTCTTAATCGTGAAGAGACGAGTTTGCAAAATGGAAATTGTTCCTCGGTTTCTCCGGTGTCTGATTGGTCGACAAATCAACCAATCGAATCTCAGTGTTTTGAAAATCAGTCAATCAGGTGTTTTCTCTATTAGGGAATCAACCAATCGAATTTGAGTAGTCCTAAAATCAGTCAATCAGATGTTTTCTTTATGAGAAAGTCAACCAGTAGGATTTCAGTAATCCTAAAATCAGCCAATCAGGTATTTTCGGAGTGGGTGTTTGTGTGGGTTGAGAGAAGACCAACATCTATAGTTACACCCATACTCACCCACACCCTTTTGAAAAATGCTTTTATGAATTCCTCACGGAAAACATTCTAGCAGACGGAATCAATTCGATCGTCTCATACTATGTATTAACTTGAATATATAGAAGCAATTATTTCACACCACATTCAAAACTAAAAGGACGGAATATTTGACATTATTGAAAGGTCAACTATGAATTTTTCCTCTCGATAGTTGACCTATCTAAACTGATGTCATACAAGAATGCACGAGTTTAAATTCTATTTTATTCAGGCTTAAATTGATAATTTCTATTTTTGTTGCGAAAATTTCTTTCATTAGTTCGGATTTATCATAATCAATCATAGTAAATGATAATACAATTTTAATTTGTTGACATACATCTTGAGCTAGTGGAAAAACTGAACTTGATTTAATGCATTACTCAAATGAAAGCTTTAATCGTAAAAAGGATATAAAACACATGTAGAAACACAATATCATGCTCTGTTGTGTTTGAAAATATGAACTTTTCATATAAAGATCATTCGATTTGCTACGACATAGTGTATTTCGTTTTACGAAGACATACTCATTACAGTTTGTATTACGTAGTACAAGCGATCAGTGTACAACTTTTCAACTTAGCCGCCGTGAGAGATTTTATTATGCAAGAGGGTGATGGCTGGGGTGTCAGTGAATGGAACATGCATATTCTCATACTTCTTTCAACAGCGTTATATCGAGACTTGCAGAGAATCTGGGTATTCAATACTGGGTTTTTTTGCGAATACGAAAAGATTATGAAGAAAAGAAACAAACGAGCCAATAATACGAAATATAGGCAACATAATAGAATAGAGAGAAATAAATGTAACTACTTAGCTCGTATGATATAGATATACAAAAAAAATGAATCGACACAATTGCTAACTAATGAGACATAGAAGAGTCGACTGATGAAAGCAATGTTGACAATCAATTTTTATTTCCATAACGACTTCAATTGGGTGTGGATGTGAATGTGCTTGTGCATATGTTTATCAACCACCCGCAACAACACCCCATATCGACACCCACCAACACCCAAAACTAACGGATCGGTGGGCCCTACGTCCCGTGTATAGCTCTTCCTGCTGAATCGCACCGTTTTGTATACTCATTTCTCTTACTCAGAAAACGCCACTTTTAGTAGTCATCGTACTTTTCTTATGTTTATATCAACCTCTTTTTATGCGAACAGTTTCAAGCAACTACACACGATTTTGTGGAACTCACGTATGTTTTTCGAACAAAATAGTGAGTGTAAGTTTTAAGTTCAAGTTTTGGCGGCTCCCCCTCCCCATTACAGACAGCCCCCATTACAGACGCCCCACCATTACAGACACCCCACCATTACAGACACCCCACCATTACAGACACCCCACCATTACAGACATACCCCCCATTACAGACAAGTCACTATTACATACCTCAGCAACTGCACACAAAAAACTTAAGCTTTACTTAATAATAGAAAAAGGCTTGAACGGTTTGAGGAATATGAATTTGACTGCTATACAATATTATAATGTTTTCATAATTATTTGAAAAAACTAACATGCACTTAACAAAATTCTTAATAGTATAATCGTTGGCTTTTTTAAGAATTTAAACTTGTATGCTAAAAATCAACGGTGAATAGTGATAATAGGTATTAATCTGTCGTATCGATGATATAATCAATACAAGAAACATGATTCGATCTTTTTATTAGTGTCAGAAGGAAACAATATCATTATTGATAAATTAATTGAGATGTATAAAAGTATTGTAAGAATGGCTAATGCATATTAAGTGCATTATTGTAAGACTCGTATTTATGAAATAGATGATGATGAAAAAATTTCAAATACAAAAAGACAAAAAAAAAGGATTATTTTCGAGTATATATCAACATTTATAAAAAAAATCGGGCGCGCTCAAACGAAAAAGATAGTCGCAGTTTTAAATGTACAAATAAATAATAAAACATTGTTTATGTCAGTGATGAGTTATAAGAATCATTCTAATCAACAGAAATCTTTCAGTTTACAGATGACATATTAGCATAACAAGTCTGACGGATATACGTGAGTACCACATTTCAGCTCCTTTGAAGCTGCGCTAACAAGCTTTTTTATTGATTGCATTTGCAATTCCAAGAAAGAAAAGAAATAACATGACGAATATGAGAATAATTGTTCTGTTAACTTATTTGGCTTTATTCGAAATAAATATTTTCACTTGGTAATCTGATTAAAAATCTCATGGCAAATGAATATTCATGACGACAAGTCCTAAAGTTCTATTCGTCTATTTGATTCAGTTCGAAACAACGATATTATGTTGATCAGCTAATCGAGGATCAAATGGCAACTGAATGATCATTATCAGGATCAGAAACAAGGTTTTCTTCATCTATTATTCTTCATTTCAAAGCCAATGTTTCGAGTTGATAATCTGATTGAAGATCACATGAAAAATGAATGTTTAATACGATCGTTCTATTCAACTATGTCACTCATTTTGAAGCAAAGATTTCCAATTGCACAGTTGATTGAAGATCATATAGAAAATGAATAATTATTTGCCAATGACTTTGTTCAACTGTTTTGTTCACGTCGAAGCAAAGATTACAAGTTAGTAAGCAGATCGAAGATTGCATGACGAATGAATGCTCATAATCCGCATAATTGTTCTGCTTACCCACTTTGCTCATTTCGAAGCCACTATTTCGAATTTGTAAGCTCATCGATCATCACTAGAAAAATGAATATTTCATACTCTTCCAATTAAAGTTCTGTTCGCATATTTTACTCCTTTCAACGTAAAACTTTCGAGTGGATGACCTGACCAATTATTGCATGACAAATGAATCAACGTAACCACCATCAGAGTTCTGTTCACCTATTTGATCTACCTCAAACTAAAGATATAGAATAGGTAAGTTAATTGAAGCTTATGTCGTAAATAAGTATTTTCTAATAAGCTGGTTCTATTTACCTATTTTGCTTACTTTGAAGCTAAGGTTTCGAGTAGGCAAGCTGATCGAAGATGACATATTGATTGAATAATCATTTTCCAATCAGGGTTCTGTTCAATGATTTGTCTCGTTTCGACATATAAGTTGAGAATTGATGGACTGATTGAAGATGACATGCTAAATGAATTATCATAACGGCAACGGCCACAAGTAGAACAAGAGTTCTATTCAACTACTTTTCTCACTTCGAAGCAAAAGTTTTGAGTTGGTCAGTTGATTGAAGATTATATCGAAAATGAATAATCGCAACGAGGAATCTATTCATTTATGTTGGCCACTTCGAAGCAAATAGTTCGTGTTCATAACTTGACCGAAGGTTACATGACAAATAAATGATCACAACGACCACCACATGGAGGGTTCTAAATATCTATTTCGTTCATCTCAGAGCAAAGATCTCCAGGCAGTAGCATGATCGAAGTTCATATGACAAGTGAATAATTCTCAAGATCGGATTTTCGTTGCTTTTTGGATTCTAAAGAAAAAGATACAATGTTTATAGTAGCTAGGAAAAGCCTATTTGACGTTCTATGCAGCTATTAAAAACGCAAAATTGTTGGTAGAGTACACAGAATTGTATATGTAGGCATAGTAGTAGCAAAGCTCAATTTGAAAGATGCATCTCAGATTTCAATTCTAATATAAATTGAATGTGTAAAACACTTACGTTTTCACTTATATAATTCCTTAGAAAAGGGAAATAAGACTTTTAAGGATACATAAGTCTCTACACCTTGTAAGGAAGGCGATTTGTTGAAAATATGTTTGTCAAAAAAAAATATCGATTAGTCACTCCTGTGGACTGAAAATTAAAAGATGATCATTCCTTCCCTATTTGTTGTTTTCTACATATAAGTACGATCAAAGAGTCGCCTACAATCACAGACTTTTTATGAATGTTGTACAAGTTTTTACCTAAACTCTTTCATTGTTGCTAAGACAAAATCTATGGAAAAAATTCTGAAAGTATAACCGATACACTTAACTTTAGTCAAAAGTAAAAGGTTTTTTTCCTTAACGAGAAATTATTCATTATTCTTCAGCTCAGTTTTCAACATTTTTTGTTCCATCATTTTCACTTTAGATATTTTTACTTTCGATCAAAGTTCAAAGAATTGTAAGTTAAGCTTAGTATTGATAGGAATCGATTTCGCAAACATATATAGAGGAGAGATGCCTCAAAACAGATTCATGATATTATAATTAATTTCTCTCATTCAAAACTGATTTCATTCAAATTGTTTTCTGCCAGTTGGAGTCGGTCGATATTAAATAACTTTAGCTACGTATATATATCTTTTAAAATCGATTTGTGATGCTTTAAGTCCTCGTAAAGTTTTGCTTTCAACAATGATTATTGAATTTTTTTTTACATAAATAACATCGTTTCTTCAAGTTCTCGTAGTAGTAGACTCACCTGAAGATGATACTTTCCTGGTCGCTTGTGCCGTTAGAATTGAAGCGGATTCGGCTTCCGGTTGTTTCGTTCCTTCAAAAAACAAAAAAATTAGTTATCTGACTAGATATCTTTTCATTTCCAAAAAATACAAAAGAACTCTGTCAACAAATAACTGTCTCAACGCTGTTGGACAAATATCATAAAATGATATTGTCGAATATTTGGTTAAATACAAAAAAATTATCAACTTCATTGATTCTCATCATTTTTTCTACAGCTATGTCAATTCTGAATCATGCTGGAACTGTTCGCTCATCAAAACACTCATTTAATACTCACTGGATTCATCTGTCTCTGTGGATTTCGGCAATACGCTCATCGCAGTCATAGTTGATGTCGATTGTTCGTCTCTGTCTTCACGTTCTTCTACCAAATGTACAATATCTAGACCACCAGGATGACTCAATACATTGGCCGCTACACGTAATGTAGTGCCTGGAGCCAACAACACTTCATCTTCACTGGGATAGTTCGTGTAACCAGAAACACACTTGCCATGTGTAGCTTCGATCAAGAAAATAGTCGATCTTGTTTCAGAAGCTAAAAAGTCCTTGATAACATCAACCGATAATGAACACGAAGTTACAGTCCACCAGATAAATTTGTCGTCCTTCCTTAAATTCTGACCAATGTCACCAACGACACCACGCCAAATGTTTGCCTTCACAGTGGGTAATTTGGCGAGTGCTGTGTCGAGTAGTTTTAGATATGGGAACCAGGGCTTAAGAGCTGGTCGATCTTCAGATCGTAGCGCTTGGTTCAGTATTCGGTAGAAACTATTATCACCCCCTTCCATCGTGTATAAATATACAGCAGCTGATTCATCATGAGTGAGACCATGTTCTGATGGAAAATGGCAATATTTTTTGGCCGCTTTGAGAGAACGATGTAACTGATCGATGTGAGGCTCGATTGACTTCAAAGCATGTTCAAGTGGAACGAGTTTTTCAGTCCAATAGCCACATATAGGTGGAAGTTTCTTATTATCAAACTCAAAGTCGATAAATCGGTTCGTTGTGTGTCGTGTATCTTCTGTCATGCAAGATTTTGCTGCAGCTACAGTATCTAGAAAGTTAATGTAATATACAAAAATGTTGTGTATCAATCGTTGAATAGGATAACATGTGATCAAAACAATATTCTTATTGAGTGAATCTGTGGGGTTTCTAACAGTTTCGTGAAGAAGGGTATTCTATACCAACGTTCTGAAAGGAAGTTCATTTGTTGGTTTTAATAGTCTAATGAGACGTAACGTCGTCAAAAAGGGTCTGAGGTAGCAATTAAAACTTTTTTGGACATATAAAGTATGGAGATTCACATCTTTTTTTAGGAACACTCCACGTATATATAGAATATCCCATAATCAATTGTTAATCATATTTTTCATACTTTTTTATTGACATAGAAGAGCTGAAATTTATATCAATTTTCGTATTGATTTTTGCAATAGTTTCTTAGTATCTCAACAAAAAGTATGAAAAATATGATTAACAATTTATTTTAGGATACTGTTTATATGTGTAAAGTGTTCCTAAAAGTGACTTAGATCTCCATACTTTTTATAAGTAAAAAGATTTTAATTGTAACTTCAGACAGTTTTTGATGATGGTACGTTTAACTAGCCCATTAAAATTGGAAAAAGAAAAATTTTCCTGAAAGCGGTAGAAATTCCACGGACTTACCCATTGTGAGGACTCCACTTCTTTTTTTTTCATAAAGGGTATGTAATAAGTTTTGATCCCCTTCAAGTAATATTCTTTTGTTATATGTTTTTTCAGTAGAATACGCTGATATTTGTAGCATATATACTAGACATCTAGATCTACTCTACACTAGAATTTCAGCTTTCTACCTCTTATAATCAGAGAGATACAAGTAACGTAAGATTCATGGAAATTTTTTGATTTATTTGTGAGGATTTTTCTGCTGTTTTATTAAGGATGTTAAATAAAAAACAATGGTTTCAACGAGATTGACGAATCGAAATTTTTTAAGCATAATAAAAAAAAAGGTGCGTCACTGTTTATGTACCTGCTCTTCATCTTGACCTATTATTTGCTTTAATCGCTTTGGTAAATTTCCCATCATTTGTCAAACCTAATACAATTGATCTAAATTGTTTATTATTTGTGAAAATATTCAGCATGATATAAATATAAATTATCAAATGTAAATTTGTACTATTCTAGATATGCAAGTATGGTTTGTTATTTTTATTTAAAAGTAAAGCAATAATTTGATTGAAAAAACTAAAAATAATATATCGATTCATTTAGTCACTAAAAGTTAATTTATCTTTTCATATAACTCGTTCGTAAGTTTTGTTGTTTCTGCACGTTATGAGGATGAGATAAAACGAGATCGAATAATTTTTCTCGATTAACAACCACGTGGATAAATGATGTAACGCAGGAGTGATACGCAGAAAAATAAAAATTACTCCTAATGAGGGATTGATCGAACAACTATAATATTTTCATCCGTGTTGTTTGT